GTAGTCTATGCAGGGGCGCAAGCCTCCGTCCTTCTTACCGACGAAGAAGAAGCTGGATGCGGCAGGGGAGGTAGATGGACGCATGTAACCTTGTTGTAGCGCCTCCTCGATGTACTCCTCCATGGCCTTCTGTTCCGGGATGGACAATGAATAGATTTTACCATGCGGTAGTACCACCCCAGGCAGCAGGTCAATCACACAGTCCCATGGCCGATGAGGTGGAAGGGTGGTAGCCAGCTGCTTATTGAAGACATCCTGGAACGCCCGGTAAGGAGTGGGGATCTCCGGTAGGTTGTCGACTGGTGGACTCTCGATGGAAGTGGAAGAAAGGGGAACCGTAGATGCAGGAACAGAAGATGGACATGAGGACTTCTTGACTGAGAGTAGACAATGGTTAAAGCAGTTCTTTCTCCATTGCAAGATCTCACCGGAGGACCAATGGATGTTAGGGGCGTGTCTTTCCAACCACGGGCGTCCCAGGATGATCTCCACAGTAGAACCCTCCAGCGCCAGAAATGAGATTTCCTCACGATGAAGATGACCGATCTGTAATGTAACATCAGGGCTTCAATGTCCAATTCGTCCTCGGCCCAGCGGTTTCCCCAGGATAGATTGAATGTGAAGAGTGTGTGAGATCGCTCGCTGACGAGTCTGGAGCTGTTGAAGAGTGGGCAGAGCTATACAGTTGCCTGCAGATCCGGAGTCAATCAGGGCTTGTACTGGAAGAGATCGGTGTAGGTAAGTGATGATCGCTGGTGTATACTTCATGGATGAAATGGGTAGCGGGACACGGATTGTACTCACCGATGGCCGAGGAGGACGGATGGGACAAGTTGGAAGTTGATGGCCGGTGGCTCCACAATACAGGCAGAGATGATTGGAGATTCGACGTTGTCGCTCAGAAGGGGACAGATGATGGGACCCAATATCCATGGGTTCTGGTGCTGGAAGGTTTGCGCGATCTTGCGCGATGAGGAGGAGGTTGTGCAGGGGTATCGAGCTGGCATGCAGTGCGGCGTTGATCGACACAGATGGAGCGTTGAATGATGTTCTCGAGACCCACGACGTCGTCATAGATAGCTAGTTGTAACCGAATCTCTGGATTTAATCCATGACGATACGCCATGATCAATGCTGGTTCATTCCACCCACATGTGGCTGCAAGAGTGCGAAACTGCAAGGCATAAGAAGACACTAAAGATTTACCTTGTTTTATCCGAAACATCTGATCTTGTACTGATATGGCATTAGGTGACTGAGAAAAAACTTCTAAGTGAGCTGAGAAGACTGAGAATGTCTGTGTTACCGGACCACAATCCTTTCATCGGGCATGCGCCCAGCGAAGGGCTCGTCCGCTGAGGAGAGAGATGACGAATGCCACTTTTGATCGTTCAGTGGGGAATTTCCCTGGATTCATCTCCATGTAAAGCTCGCACTGCAGCATAAACCCATTGCACTCTCCCTCCCCCTGAGAAGGGCGCTGGTTGGGCCATGGGACATACAGAGGCTGAGGACGAAGAAGCAGGTGTTGTGAAGGTGGCGAGTGGAGATGAACTGATCCGTGGAATGGGGGGAGCTGGCGGAGAGATCGCCACTGCAGTGGTGCTGGGAGTGGGTTGCAGCATGTTTGTTGGTCTGGTCTTCTGAATCTGGCACTGAAGCTGGTGTATCCGTGACACTTGGAATCTGGATCTGTTTTTTCGCTCTTCTTTATTCTTTTTTGTATATATTATAGAAGTATCAAAAATCAAATGACTCGGACTCGAGGGCAAAAAAACCTGATCGGGACATCCCTAATATATATTAAACTGCAAGAAGTTTAAATAACAGCTTTTGAAATTCTTGTTACATGAAATCGTGTGACTGCTGCAGTGATGATTTCATATTTCTCTACTTGGTCTTTGAATAGTTGAATAATATAAATGTGTAATGCTCTATGTGTATGCCATGTTAAAGAGATGTGTTTTAGTCTAGATTTAAATGGACAGTGTGTCTGCTTCTTGAACAATGCTAGGAAGACTATTCCAAAGTTTAGGTTCTAAATAGGAAAAGGATCTACCACCTGCAGCTGATTTTGATATTCAAGGTATTATCAACCAGCCAGAATATTGAGCTCACAATACAATATAATGTGTTAAAGAAATAGTTCACCCAAAAATGAGAATTCTTTCAGTAATTACTCACCCTCATGTTGTTCCCCTGTAAAACCTTTGTTCATCTTCAGAACACAAATTAAGAGTTTTTATTAAATCTGAGAGCTGGATCACTCCTCCATAGGAACGAATTTTTGGACCCGTGTAGATCTCTAGAAAGCATGCCCCGTCATGAGAGCAGAGGTCGCAGCCCTACTGGCAAAGGGTGCGATTGAGCCATTCCCCCCGGCCGACATTAAGTCCGGGTTCTACAGCCCCTACTTCAGTGCAGGAGAAAAGTGGTGGGTTACGACCAGTCTTGGACTTGAGTTTCTTGAATCCCATTTAATATTACGACCGAGCACGGTCAGTGATGTTATTGTCTCAACAGATGCCTCCACCATGGGCTGGGGTGCCATGTTCAATGGGCATACTGCGTGAGGCTCCTGGACAGGACCCCAACTTTAGTGGCATGTCAGTTGCCTCGAGTTGCTAGCAGTACATCTTGCTCTGCCCCGCTTCAGGGGCTTGCTGAGGGGCTAGAATGTACTGGTCTGGACGGACAACACTGCGACTGTAGATTTCGTCAGCAGTCCGGGTGGTCTTTGATCCTGCCGCATGGAGCCAGAAGCATCTAAGGGTTACTTTGCGTCATTAATATCCCAGGAGAGCTGAACCATGCAGCCAACAAGCTCTCATGTCAAAGCTCTCGCCCCAAGGAATGGAGGCTCCATCCCCAGTCAGTTCAGCTGATTTGGGAATGCTTCGGAGACAAGTAGACCTGTTTGCCTCTACAGACACTTCCCACTGCCAGTGGTTTTACAGCTGGCCGTAGTGCCTTTGCAAGTATGCTTTCCTCCAATGAGCCTACTTGCACAGACTTTGTGCAGGATCAGGGAGGACAAGGAGCAGGTTCTCATGGTCGTGCCCGGCCAGACCTGGTTCCCCAAATTTGTACTCCTCGCGACAGCCCTTCCCTGGCGAATACCTCTGAGGAACGACCTCCGGTAATGCCTGATCCGGTCGGTGCTCTTTTTCCTTCAAGAAGGGTTGGAAGTGCTTCAGGACCTCAGACTAGCTCATTCGTCTGTAATAGAGGCCAGCAGAAGGAAAAGGCTGGCTCCAATCAGAGGTTGTCCTACTGGATAGTGGTTGCCATTATCTTGGCCTACGAAGCCGAAGATCTGCCATTCCCCCTAGCGGTGAAGGCACACTCTACCAGGGGTGTACTGTTGCCGCCTCCTGGGGAGGGCAGACATTTGTAGAGCTGCAGGCTGGGCGACACTTAACACATTTGCGAGATTCTGTAATCTCTGTGTGGAGCCTGTGTCCTCCTGTATACTTCCTTCAAGTAGCCAGTAAGTAGTCAAGTCATGTCACCTTTATTTATATAGCGCTTTTTACAATACATATTGTTTCAAAGCAGCTTTACAGAAATAACAGGAAAATAATGTTGTAATAGTATCATTAAATTTAAAATTAAATGTCTCCAACTGAGCAAGCCAAAAGTCAATGGCGACAAAGTTGAAGAAAGGAAAAAAAGGCGACAGTGGTAAGGAACCAAACCTCCATCAGTGACAGAATGGAGAAAAAAAAACCTTGGGAGAACCCAGGCACAGTCAGGGGGGCAGTCCTCTTTTGACCAACAAACAAACAAACAGTGTATGATTATGATTTAGGTAGCATTATAGGTCAGAAGTCAGATGGGATCAGAACTTTAACAATATTTATCCAGTTCCATCTGGTTGGGGGTCAGATTCATCATGCCGGTATGGAGATGAGATTGTTGAGGTGTCCATGAGGCCTTCACAGTGATTATGAGGCTGGCAGTATAGGACCTGCTTTGTGTCATTTGCTCCATGCACCATTCCACTCCACGGACTGGATGCATGCACCTACAATTTCCTCAGATGCAATTTCCTCAGGTGAGTTCCTCAGCTTGAACCCTTGGTTCCTCCATTGTCATGTTTAATGCCTGTACATTCTGCCCAGTCGGTCAGCCAGTGTGTCGGATTATGTTGCCATCCCCCTTGCTCGAACAATCCGACGTGTATTTCCACGACAAGTCTCTTGGTAGTATGTGTCTTTCCCTTGGCAAAAACACTATTGCCTCTTTCAGGTTGAAATATCTCCACCCTCTAGCCTGGTTACCTCAGAGATCTTCCATATGTATTCTGCCTATGTATTTCATATACAGTATGTATTCCTAAGTCCTCCCTGCAGGTAGTGCACAACACTGGCATTTTCTGTTGGAATTTGCTTCCCAATCTTCCTTGTAAACTCGAGGGAGCTGTGGCTAGCGCAAGGCACTGGTAGACAGCCGTCATGGTGTTTTGGTAGAGGACCCCATTTGTCAGATGTTCTGACATAATGTAGAGCATGACTGACTGAAAAGGAATGTCCCCTTGCCACAACCGCCTTGCCGCTGAACGGTCATGGCTTATCCTCTCGGCTCCTTAGCAAAGAACATGAATGTGAGAATGCACATGCTGCTCCTTATATACCCACAAACCAGGATAGGGCAAAAATTCTGAAGACCTAGGTACTTTGTATACCATTGATCTCTCGGGCGGGACCCCATTCATCAGACGTTCTGACGTAAAGTCTCCATTCTCTCCTTAAGGGAATGAGGGTAACATACTGTCTCAAGCAGGACAAGGCAGAGGGCAGTGAGAGAGCGGCACTAGGCCAGTGGAGTGTTTACTTATGAGTGCCACCTGCGCGACACACAGGTCTCGTATCTCTATGTAACCGAGACGTTCCATTCCTGGGTTTAGCATGGTCCACAACCCTTTGACTGGTAGTGACCCTATTTTATTTGGTGTGTATTGAGCTAAGTGTGAGGAGTTATTCTCGTTCTCTCTACAGGCTTTGTAACTTCAACATTACAGACGAAGGATTTGCTGCTCTGGCTTCAGCTCTGTTATCAAACCCCTTACACCTGAAAGAACTGAATCTGAACTATAATAAACCAGGAGACTCAGGAGTGAAGCTGCTCTCTGACCTACTGAGGCATCCAGATTTTAAACTGAAGAAACTGGAGTAAGTGACATTATTTTGTCATATTATCAGAGAAATCTCTTTAAGATCAGTTGATATGTACTAAACATGTAATCAAACCTCATTAATAAAACTCAAGTAAAATACAATTAGTATATAAACATTTTAGTGGACTGTTAATAATATGTATGTTTCTGGTTGTTTAGTCTCCAATAAAGGTCTAGATATGCTTAAGCTGCTGCTACAGAGAGAGCAAACACTATTTATTAAAAAAAATAAAATCCTCTGATTTTTTTTGTGTTGTCACTATACCAAAATTATTGTTTCGATAACGATACCAAGTCAAGAATTGCGATTTCAATACTTTTCCTTAAAAAAAAGGAAAAGTATTTCTTACAAGGCATTTCACAAATACACCTTTTTTGCACAGGTCTGTGCTCTTTAAATCCTGTAATAAGCTAATATAAATAAATCCCTGACAAACATGCACATGCTCTGATTATAATCATATAAAGATTATTTTTGTTGATGTTTTGTATGCTTTATTTTAGCAGCTTGCAAATTGTTTGAGTCATCTATGAAAGTTGAGGGGGAAGTTGTACACATAATACATATCAATAAAACATCTCCAGTTAGGGTAAAAGGGTAGGTAAAATCCACAAAGGGTAGGTAAAATTTTCCAAAAAAAAAATGTTTTTCAAAATTTGTTTAAACATTCTTTAGATACCAATACATAATTAAAATGTAAGTACTCTGAAAAATAGAGTATAAAAATGTAGTGTCTGTAGTCCTCTCAGGGCTGCAATAAACGCAGCTACTTATCTCCATTCAGGACGAAAGAAATGATTGGCTGGTTCGACTGTCACTCCCCCTCGCTAGCATGGTTACCACCCACTGCTACAGGAGCTGCCCACATGCACGCAGCCATTTGACTCGAGGAGGGAAAGCATAGAAACTAGGAAGAATCACAATTATGGCAGAGGAAGAGAAGTCAAAATTTCCAGTACCTGCATATACAGTCAGCGAAGGAAAACCAGCCAAAAAAGGAAGATAGTATTAGACAGTATTCGACCCGGACCTGTCCTTGAGTCGACAATGCGGTACTTGTCTCTGGAGTGTAACGTTACTCTTAAAAGAGCCAACAGTGCTTTAATTGTGGAAGCTCTTACATGCCAAACGCCATATGAATGTTATGAATCTAACGCAAATCACTACTAGCTTGTTACCGAATCAAACTCAATATATTTTAAAGTCCCTGTAAAGGCAATTCTACAAAAAAGTTCTAAACACATTATAAATGTTACATATGTATTGCCAAAACATATTACAAAGACTGTGAACTGTGAAGTACTGAAATGTAGAGTTAGACCGTTATACAGTTTTTCACCATTGCAATTTTACGGATTGTTTGGGCGGGGCTAAAACAGGGCTCGGTGACGCACTGGAGCCCATGAGCTCCTGGACACGCCCCTATTTGATGACCCACAGAGTCTGATCTCTCCCCTAACACACAATAACACTCCCCGAGCACATTCACATTCACCGCTCAATCGCGAGTGACTGTCAGTACTATTAGTTACTACAGATGAGCCTACAGTTTTCTAGCTAACTATGCCTTCAACACAGAAATGCATAGGCTACTACCTGGATGTGATCATGTACAAAACAGATCGGTATCTTCATTTAAATTCCCTAAAAACGATCACACCAAGAAGAGGTTTTTAGAGAGCCAACCTTGATAAAGAGCTGAGGATCACCGCCAACACCCGCCTCTGTAGTGATCATTTTACACGAGATCGTTTTATAAACTTTCCTCAGAGACAACTGGGATTCACTGATAGTCTGCTGTTACTGGTGAACGGGGCCGGACCGACTATCTCCCACCTCAGCGTTCATCTGACATCCTCCCGTCGCGAAAGCAGTATCAGCTAATATCACCGTCGACAGCTTTCCCGCTAGTGGGCGTGGTTTCAGCCCAGCCAGCGGACCCCAGCGTTTGAGAGCAGAGATAACTGCTAATTTTTTCATGATTTTGATAGCTTATTTTATGTACTTGCCAGCTTTTTTATCATTTAAATTTGGCTGGGTGGCTAATAACACATTTTTCTGTGGTGTGACAAACTCAGAACACATACTTAATTTTGACTTTACAGGGACTTTAACCTGTACCAGTATTGATATGTTAGCTTGATAGTGAGCACTAACAGCCATGTTAGTTGTTTATATCCATAATGATAATGTGAGGTATTTTATTACATGTGATTCTAACATGATGTCACTACATGCATTGTATGCATGTCCTCCAGCTGAGTGAGTGGCATGAGTGGTGCGTTCATTTGTTTTGGGGGCGTGGCTTTGGAAGGAGCCCAGACCGGAGGGGGTGGAGTGAATGGAGATAAGTAGCTGTGTTTATTGTAGTCCTGAGAGGACTACAGACACTTGATTTTTATACTCTCCTTTTCAGAGTACTTACATTTTAATTATGTGTTGGTATATAAAGAAAGTTTAAACAAATTTGGATAACAGCTTTTTTTTATTTTTACCTACCCTACCTTTAACTAGCAGAGCATTCATTTAGTTCACTATTAAATAAGAGATCTAGCGCCAAAATTTGTTGCATGGATAGAGTCCTTTGTGGCTTGCGCACTGTCTTCACTCGGACGCACGCTTCAATCTATCACCGTTGCGGAGACTCTCTATTCGTTCCGGTGAGATCACAAAATAAAATGTGCACAAACGTGTCCCTGCTTGATATAGACTGTAACCAATGATGAACATATTCGGTTTTGATGAGAGAGAAAAGACCATTAGAAGAACTCTAACAAAACCAATGAATCGATGCATTTATTTACGGGTTGAGCAGAGGCCGTTGGATAGTGTTGCTAAGAACTTGCAATGTATAACTATCAGACCGGACCTATAGCGGTCTCAAAACACTAAAAGTCACAACTCTCCCGATCACCACTCTGCTACTGACTGGTGGCCACAATATAACTTGTGTTCGAACATGCAGCCATATCACTGTAGTGTTTGTCACATGACAGCTGCAACTTCTTTGCTGTGTGTGTGTGAGGAGAAAAAACACATACGTCCATTGCACACACCAACATGGAATATTTCTCTTACAAATCTGGAAAGCAGTAATTCTTAGAAGTATCGATACAAATACATTTAAAGGGGTGGTTGATTGCGATTCACTTTTTTGATTTTAAATAGTGTGTAATGTTGCTGTTGGTGCATGAACAGTATCTGCAAAGTTGCAGCGCTGAAAGTTCAGTGTAAGCAGAGATATCGTCTTTTAAAAATCAGGAAGTTGAATGCCTACAAAAACGACTCGATTGGGACTACAGCTGGGTTTTAGACGTCACTAACCCACACATTTGCATCAACCCTCCCTCCGCAATATGCAAAAAAGGGCATGGCCAAATTTCTGCGGCTCATCAAAAGAGTGTTATTTTTACCCAGCTGTCAGGTCTTCTGTGTTCGGGCTTCCCACGGAAGCAACAATGGATACAATTTAAGTTTGTCAACAATGGATACAATTTATGTTTGATTGTGTTCCTGAAAATTACAATTGTAATTTAATCATAATTTAGCTCTCTGTGCTGCGCATTTTACGAAAGACATCTTCCAGAATCTCCACGAATTCCATGCCTGATTCAACAAGAAACTGTTACTAAAACATGAAGCAGTTCCAACTTTAAAACCAGAGACAGCAGTTGTTGGGTCACAACCTGTAAGTAGGCTAAGACATAATAATAATTCGCATCACATTCGCGAGAGAAGAAAGTTGGCAAATGTCAGTTCAATCGTAAGTTAATTCTTTATGTGTGTTGTGTATTGTCTATTATGATATTCTAATTGTTTTAACAATGTACGAGTCACTGTGAGCTGACATCGCATTTGTTTCTCGTGCTTTCACTGCGTGATTTGTGCAGTTATAGGCAGACATGTATTTATTATGTCAATGGTTTTATAGGTATGTCCCCAAACTTTTTGTCTTTTTAGTTTTTGACTTATATTTATATCATATTATGTTCTTTAAAAAAATTAACATTGTGAGTTACCTTTTAGACACAATATTATCAATATTGTTTGTTTTCCCTTTATTTCGCTGACTAGAATTTCAAAATGAAACCGTAGCAGAGTCTAATCAATGCAACAGACAGCGATGATTTCTTGAATGAAATCCGCGTTTTGAACGAATCATTTTAACGATTCAATGAACAATCACTTGCTTCTTTCCCGAATGAATCAGCCGTTTGAACAAATCGGTTGAATGAATGACTCCCTCAACTCGCTTATTAAGACAGTGATTTACCGCCGCCTATTGTTTTAGTTTCATAGTTTTTAGTTTTAGTTTTAGTTTTAGTTTTGGTTTTAGTTTCATATTTAAAGTAAAACGTTAAAATTAGAAATCATTTCATAGTTAATGCTATGCTTAAAAACTATCTCATAGCTTTATTTATGTAATTGTAAATGGAGTGTAAATATTAATGCAACTTCTGATGCTGCTTCTGTGTCACATCTGCACTGCAAATGGATTTTGATTGAATGATTTAATTTGACTACTAACAGTGGTACTGTATAATTATTGTGTAATTAAGTATTATTGTATAAATAAGTATAATTACTGTATAATTTAATTTGAATATTAGTATCTGAGATAAAACGTGATGCATAACTCTAAATATGTTTAGAAAAAAATGTCCATATATAGGTGAAAATGCCCCTGGAAATCGATTTAAAGTGGCAAATATTGCATATTAATTATGGCCCAAGCCCTGAAAGGGCGAAGGCCCTATTTTTTTTCCTTGGGATTATTCTTTTCTATTATTATTATTATTATTATTTTTCTTACGACTATTCAGGCACTTTTGGGGCCCTTAACGTGCTCGAAAACTCTTGAAACTTTGCACACAGGTCAGATCCCACAGCCATCAAAGCCGGGCTGAAGATGGTACCCGAGCAAGGCAGGGGGGCTTGAAAGAGCCCCCTGGAACGGTGTCTGAAAACTTGGTCCATAAATCAAACACGCTTGC